AAAAAAACAAACCAACAAGAACTCATCTACAGTCTGGCATTTGATACATCAAACAGCAGCCCCTCATCCCACCTCTGTCATCTCAGCTTCTCATTCCCCAGAGAAATTCACTTCCAATTCTTGTGGCTCTTTCTTTTGGCATCTGTCTTCATTTTTAAAATGCCATAGTTGCATTACTATTTCCTGCCTTTCAGATTTAGATATTATTTAAGGACTTCTTATTATGGAAGATGAAGCCTTGACTATACACCCTCAAGAATCTTCCCTTAAAGCAACTATTTCCCTAATCCTCAGCTTGAGAGCCAGAGTCTGGCCACTCGGCACAAGGACAGCTGAAACAGCAAGAGTACTTGACCGTGATTCTGGATTAGCCTGCTCTAGAAGTATGCATATACCGCAGCTGCATCCCCCCGAGAGTATTTCAAAATTATCCTCTCTACGAAGATGCTGGTAACATTTCAAAAGAATCTATAGTGATAAATAGCCAGATTTTAATGGACCAAACCTTAGCAATAGGGATTTGGATAATAAAGATGGCCACCAAATTCAGAGTGTTCAGAGTTCTCTATAGCCCACGTTCTCTCTCTCCCACCATCTTCAACAACTCTCTTCTTGGCCAGCCTCAAACCCTCTTGCCTCATGATCCCCAACTGCAGGGATCTGGAATTCAGCCTAAGCTGGGGAGCAACTGACTCAGCTCATCTACAGAGCTAAGTGTTGGGAGCACAAGTCTACTGGGCCCCCCTAGACATGCCAGTTGTCCATTTACCAAAGGACAACAGAGGCAACCGGCTCCGGGGCTTTTGGGCTCTGTCTCTCAAGTTTCCCAGCTCTGAAGGGGGTGGGGGGAGGCAAGGCAATTCTTCGCAAATATCAAAAACTCCCCTGTCACAGAATGCTAGCTTCTTTTTTGTTTTATCTTCTTTACATTATTCAGCTTATAAATAGGTACTAAATAACCCGGACAGTGAAGTGCCCTCCTGTAATCACACAAAACAGATCTTTGCTCCCTAGGTGTTTGTGCTCAGTTGGACCCCCCATTATAACCGAGGCCCCCAGCGAGCGGAGAGACCTGTGAAGGGACGACTGGGGCAGAGGGAGAAAGGAGTTGGGGGGACAAGAAGCCTGAGCGGCCCCAGGGTCATGGTGAGCGCCAGTGCTGGCAGGGGGCTCCAATCCCAACCACAGACGGACAGAAAACAGCTAAAGATCACCACATGAACCCACAGAGAAGCCCTCAAAACCATCCACTCTAAACAAACCTGAGGATCACACTAAAGCAAATACATAAATTCTAAAAACTTAGGATTGTGATTCACTATATCCGGGGTTCAGATTCTCCATTCGTTGAACACCCACAGAGTGAAGTTTCACCAGCTTATAGAGACTCAACGACAAATGACCTGCTTACAATCTGGCCCTCAGAGGAAACAGTGCTGGCCATTGGCCACAAAGCGCCTGGGCTGGACATTTTCTTTTAGGAATGCAACTTGTTTTTCTATCCTGAGAAGTGAGGGGGACAAGCTGGCTTGGGACTGACCATAAGAGTTGGAAAGGCGTGAGCACACTCACTTCGTGAGTGCCCCAGTCCATTCAACCCCTTCATTAGGGAGCAGAGTGGAGAGCCCCTTCCTCTAGGTTTATTCCCTGTGTTAGTTTGTTTGCCATTGCTAAAATGGAATACCTGAGGCTGTCTAATTTATAAAGAAAAGAGGTTTATTTAGCTTACAGTTCTGGAGGATCAAGAGCACAGCACTAGAAGCAGCTTGGCTCTGGTGAGGGCAACACTGCAGGTGGCATTTCAAAAATGGAGGGAGTGGGCTGGGGTTGTAGCTCAGTGGTATAGCCCTTTCCTAGCACATGTAAGGCACTCACTGGTTTTGATCCTGAGCAGCACATAAATATAAATAAATAAAATAAAGGCATTGTGTCCATCTACAACTTTATATATATATATATATATATATATATAAAATAAAAATAAAGGTGGGAGCATATGCCAGAGATCTCACGGCAAAAGGAGAAGGCGGAGAGTCTGGGGAGGGGTCAGACTTACTGTTTTATACAAACTATCAGGGGTCCTACAGAAACCAAATTACTCTCAGTGCCCACGATGACCTAAATACCTCCCATCAGGTTTCACTGTTCCCTAACATGGCCACACTGGGGACTGGGCTTCCAATATGTGAGCTCTCAGGGGACATGCTCACACCATATCCAACCACAGCACTCCCCCAGTAGGACATCAAGGAATGCTGATACTCTTGTGCATCCACATATTGTCCACAATATCCTGTTTTCCTCCTAGTCCCAAGGAATCTCCTGAAACAAAATAACCTCTGGCTCCAGTGGCAGAAACACAAAAGGTCTATTCCTGGTTTCTCGAGTTACAACTCTAAAGTTTTCCCATTCACGGGCTGTTCTCTTGGAAAATGATCATGATTCTGGTCCGTCATAAGTTGGAGCAGGTCTTATCATTATTTATACCCTTTCTTTGATAAATGAGTTCCAAGCTCTAAACATCTGTCTTCCAATTATTAAGTCTCAGGACACAACAAGACTCGGGAAGCTGTAGACTACACAGCAGATAAAGCAGTCGCTCATTTCCTTGGCTCTAGGCTTCAGACTTATTTACTATTTGGGGATAGAAAGTCTGGCCACAGGGAACTCTGAAAGAATGGGAACCTGGCATATAAGCCCCCCCCCCCCACTTTCCTAGGGTGTGGTTCATAAAGACAGGGCTCTTCCTGGGGAAGGGAGGTCCCATTATAAATAGGTCCTTGTTTGTAAACAAATGGAAATGAGGGCAGTTGACCATAGACAGGGGGACCTATGTGCAAGGCACTTCATTAAACAGAGCTCCTTCTCCAGTGAGTTTCCAAACATCTGGAAGCAGCAGGGCTGTTTCTAAACTTTTTTTTTTTTTTCCCCCAGGCATTCTGTGCTCTGTGGATCCCCTGTGGATTAAAGGACAAAACCAGGAGGGATTCTGGCTTCCATCATTCCTTTCCCTCTCACCCTCTCCCGATTCCATAAATCACTTCTGGCAGGTAGCTGGGAAGCAGCTGCAAAGGACAGTTTTGCTCTGGAGCACAGGAAGCCACCTTTTAACCCGCCTGCTGTTGTTTGTCTCCCGAAACGTGACAAAAGAACAGATGTAAGCAACATGCCAACTGTTGAGAGGATCTGCTCAGAGCACTGGAGGAAGCCTGTTCAGAGCCACATCACACCAGTCGCTCCAAGGAAGGACCACGGAGTTCATTTCCTGAAACCCCCACGCACGCTCTGTTCACATCGGGCTGGGATGCACAACGCTCAGGCAACTCACCGCCCACATCCCTGCTTCTGCCTCTGCCCCTCTGGCTCCCTAGCTGTGAAGCCCCTTCCAGAACCCTGCTCAGATGCCACGGGAGGTTTATCTCCCAGTGAGGTCTTTTCTGAGCCCACACCAACCCTTCATCTCTAGACCAGACTGCTGTCCACAGCCTGCAGCTTCCAGGCCTCCTGGGGGTCTAGCCCCTCTCTGCAAACTACCCTGTTAACCTCCTGTCGCGTTGGAACCTTGGGTTATACACCACTGTGGCCCCCAAGCAGTGTCTTTTATATCTCCAGCTGCAAACTTTGAGTGCCCTGGGAAACAAGTTCAATAGGTTGCACCCAATATTTAAAAATATGGAATAAAAATCAGCTTACAAAAGATAGTCTTGGGAGAACTGGGTAACAATGAAGTAGACATGAGATAAAATTATGAAATTCCTATTAACTTTCTTAAGAGATCGTAATGGTGTTGTGGTTGTACAGGGAAATGCCTTATTGTTTTTAAAAAACATATCTTCATTGGTCTTTTTTGGGGTCAGTTTTAGGTTTACAAAATTGAGTGGAAAGTATAGCAAAAAAAATTGTGCACGTGGGCTCACATGCACACATATGTAATTACACATATTGGGACAAATCAAGCCAATGTGCCAGAATTTACAATTGCTAAATCCAGGTAGAGGGCACAAAGGTATTCATTATGTTATTCTTCAAATTTTTCTCAGTTTAAAATAAGTTTCATAACTAAAAAAAAAAAAAAAAGAAAGAAAAAAAAACTGGAATGCAGAGCATGAAGCGTGATTTGCTTTTAGGTATCCATTGAAGAGTGTGTCCTGGGTCACGCATTTTTTTATTGTGGGTCAAGGCCCTGAGTTTGAAAATGCTGCCCTAAAGCAATTTGCTTTCCTAAGCTCACAGTAGGTAGGCAATGAATTACTTGTTAATTAACTGCTAGAAGCCCAGGATTTAAATGAAGATGCAAGCTGAGAAATCAAATCTCCAGTTACATCTCATTAAGTCAAACTGTGTCACAACATGGAAGCCCCTTCCTCCCCAGCACACTGTCCTCAGCTCAGCCTCCAGGCCTTTCTTATCAGATGCTGAATTACTCAATGAAAAGGGGGACTTCAGGCTTTTCCTCTCCAGGGAGGGTGTTAACAGAAGATTCCAAGCAGGGGCCCAACTGTCTTGGTTTGCCTGGACTGAGGTGTTCCACAGGACTAAGACTCTGGGTGCTAAGACCAGGACTGTCCTAGCAAACCAAAGCAGACGGTCACTCTAGATTTCTTTTTTCTTTTTAATATTTATTTTTTAGTTTTAGGTGGACACCATATCTTTATTTTACATTTATGTGGTGCTGAGGATCGAACCCAGTGCCTCATGCATGGTAGGGGAGCACTCTACCACTGAGCTACAATCCCAGCACATCACTCTAGATTTCAAAGAAGCCTTAAGGACTCTGGATCTGGGAGAGTTGTCACTGCAGTGCTGTGTAGCAGAGTACAGCCACACAGGAGCGAGGGGCGAACCCAGTGCTCAGGAAACTGATACAAGATAGAGATACCTGACGGCACCCACCCAAAAACAGTTGATGCCTCACTGTAAGGTGTCTCTGGCAATGACAGAGAACCTTTTTGTTCTTAGTCATCACCTAATGTGGACAGAAAGGGGCAAAGGAAGCTTACTGTGAAAACGTCATCATCACCAAGCTCGGCCTCATTATGAATAGTGGAAGATGATGTTGTCGAGCCTAAAAGAGAAAAAGGTAATAAAAACGTGTCTCCAAAGAGTATAAACTAAATTCAATCACTTAAAACTTAAAAATTGCACTTTAATAAAACCACATTTCATCCTTTTCCCTTCATTTTTTTTTAGTGTTCTTTTTAGGTATACATGATAGCAGAGTTTGACATATTATGAATACATGCAGCATGACTTCCCATTCTTGGGGTTGTCCATGATGTGGAGTTGCACCTGTTATCCATTCAGAAATGAACATAGGAAAGTTAGGTGTGACTCATTCCAGTGTCTTTCCTATTCCCCCCCCCCTTCATTCCCCTTTGTCTAATCCAATGAACTTCTAGTTCCCCCTTATTGTGTGTTAGCACTCGCATATCAGAGAGAACATTCAGACTTTGGTTTTTTAGGATTGCCTTTGAAGACTTCAGATAATTTACTGGCAAATGCCATAATTTCATTCTTCTTTATGGCTGAGCAATATTCCATTTTGCATGTATACATTTTCTTTGTCCATTCATCTGTTGAAGGGCATCTAGGTTAGCTCCATATTTTAGCTATTGTGAATTGAGCTGCTATAAATATTGATGTGGCTGTGTCACTATAGTATGCTCCATCCTTTTTGTTTATGAATCACTAACAGAAACCAATTACTGGGGAATTAGTGCCTCTTTTTTTTTTTTTTTTTTTGTTATACTGGGGATTGAACCCAGGGGTGCTTTACCACTGAGCTATAACCACAGTCTTTTTATTTTCTATTTTGAGACAGGATCTAGTTGAGGCTGGTCTCAAACTTACAATCCTTCTACCTCAGACTCCCAAGTCATTGGGATTATAGGTATGCATCACTGCGCCTAGCTGAATTAAATGCTTTTAACTTATTCTTAACTACTTCTTGCCCGATGCTCCCTACATTAACTTTGTGAACTGTTCTCAGTTAATCTCTCAAACTTCTACACTGGCTGCTAAAGAACAGATACATAAAGAAGCACTATGGAGGGGAAAGGAGAACCTGACTACTTCTCTGAGGGGCATTCAGTAAGTCCAGCCTCTGTAGGGACCTCAAGGTCCCAGTAGTGGAGGGAGGAAAGCACTGAACTAGGACTCCCTGCAAGTCAGACCTGCCACAATCTTACTGCGGAGACAGGATTTCGCTTTGGTAAGTCTTTTCATCCACCACTGAGGAAGATCTGATTAAACAGCTTGAATGTTTGCACTTCCAGTTCCAAATTCAGTTACTGTCCTCTAAATCCCAACTGTGGGAGCCATGTTCTTAGAAGATATCCAGGCAATGGGCAGGTGAGTTTCCTTTGCTTTTGCAGGTCAAAATTAAGGCTTCTGTCAGAAACCCCAGCTTATTCCATCACAGAATGACTTAGTTTTTAAAGTTCTAGTTTACGAGAGAACAGCTAGGTAGTGTGTGCACACACAAAAAATTCCAGTGTGAGAATCAAATCCTGTATGTAACTTCAGTGATTAAAGTCCATGGATACAACGCAAACTTCTATCAATAATACAGAGCTTGATTCTCCGCAAACATTGAAAAGCTATATTTAATATCAACATCTAAAATATCTGCCACTTAACATTGTAAACCCTGGTTTTTAATCTCTTTTTGGCCAACTCATGGTTTTCATTAATTGATTCATGTTGTAGCTAGAATTGTCTTAGCTGTTAAATGTTAAATGATTTCCAAGACTTGCATTTTTTCTCCCTCATTCACAATCAATACTTCAGAACAGTTCCATTTCTTAAGCAAGCAATATATATATTCTTTTGTGATTCAATTCCCCCAGTTCTAAATCTGGTATTAACATGTTGCTTGATACTTCTTCAGAGGGCTCTGGCTGTAGCACCTTTAATTGTCTGATTAGATAATTGAATCTGAAACACAAAAATTTGTCCATCTGCACCTGGGGACTGTAGCCATGGTCATCATGAGAGTTGACGGCCCAAGGCTCTTCCAGGCCAGAATCAGATGTAACAATGCCTACACCATTTACTTTTTCTTTTTTTTAAACGAAGTCCATCATTCTCTCTTTTTAAAAAATATATTTTTAGTTGTCAATGGACCTTTATTTATTTCTTTATATGTGATGCTGAGAATTGAGCCCAGTGCCTCACACATGCTAGGCAAGCACTCTACCAATGAGCTACAACCCTAACCCTGCCTACATACACCATCTACAAAGAACGGCCTACACCAAACCAAGGACCTGGGGAGTGACAGATCCCTTTCCTTTTCAGTGGCCACTGTTCACTCCAGGCTTTGATTTTGGAATAGTGGACAGACCTGGTGTAAGCTGGGTCCACCAGAATGCATTCTCTACTTCTGAGCCAAGACAGACCAGACTAAAGTCTTTTTAATAGTCAGGACAAGGAGGAAAAAAAACAGTAAAAAATCCATTCACATGGACATCTGGAGTGCCTGCTTCCAGCTTCAGAGCACAGTCCAAAAACCAATCAGGATTACTCCCTTCTCTGAAATCTATCTCCTTTCCTCTGCATTGTCACTTTAATTATTCTCCTTGGAAGCTCTGAAAGTTTTGGCATCAACTGGCCCCCAAACCCTCCTGCAAAGAAACTATAAATATATGATGGCAGGCCACTGGAATGAAAAAGAATCTGGAAACTTTCCACAGACCCACTAAAGGCCCAGTGACAAGTTTGATACCTTCTATGAGGTCTTCAATTGCTTTCCTCACTCCCCTGTCAAAGGCTCGAGCGTCAGCAGGGCTTTGGAAGGTAAGTCCAAACTTCCTATTATCGACCTTCCAATGATGAAACGTTGGATTGGCTTTGGTGTAGACCAAGTCCTTTCTTACATAGCATTCCAGCACCACCTGAAGGATGGAAACACACAGGCTGGTTACTCATGGAGCAGCCACGATGGTGTCTGGCTACAGAAGTCTAACAGGAGAACCATTGCCAGTGCTAACCCAGACCTTCCACCTGTGCCTCCACCGGGCGCCTTTCTACCAGGGAGGACACTTTGTTGCTTACTGACCACCTCATCATTGCTGCCCCTGGCCCTTGGCTCTTGTGAGCTTTCCTGTCCTGGCTGTCCTTTCACCACGTTCCTCTCCATCTCACAGATTCTTCTCCCCCTGTCCTCACTGTGGAGCACCAGTGAGACCCAGGTCTTTGATCGGCCCCATGTTGTGGCCTTTGTACTAATGGCTCTCAGCTTTCCCTCCTCTGACTTATTCGGTGGCTCCCACGACTCTTAAATCCAACAAGCTGAAAATCAGTCATTCTGAAATTTCTGCCACTGGTTTCCTCCTAAGTGCCTACATCTGGCAATGCCAACCCTTCTCTGCTCACTCTCTCCAGCTCCGAATCTCTGTGGTCGGTCGCCTTTGCCGCTCTGCTTTCTCTCTTCCCCGATACGTTTGATCACCAAGTCCATTTCATGTCTCCGGTATCTTTTCTATCAACCCCATTTCAGCTGCTGCCATCCTGATCTGGGACTGTTAACGTTACATCTAGATTACTAGAACAATCTCCACATTTCTAACCATCTAGTTTCAGAACTGGCTTTTGCTGAGCTACAACCTTGACTGATCTTTTCCTCTCTAGATCAAGTCCCTCCATCTTTTTATCTCTAAGGCGGAAATAACACCAAAGTTATCAAGGAGACAAGAACATGCTCTGAAAACACTGAATAAATGAGAAACTTAACAGGGCCGCACTCATTCCTCAGGGCACATCACACGAGGCTGTAGTCTGTACTCATCCTTGTTGCCTTCACCCTTGGGCATCTGACTTCACATCATTCTAATAGCCTCACTTGCATTGATCTTGTTCCCCCTAAATATAAATATTTCAAGATGTATCATAAAGTAACACCCTGTGTCTAGAATGGTGTTATAAAGAAACTAGTATTGTATTTTTAATACTGTATTTTATAGAAAACAAGCAGGACTGCAATCATGTGACTATAAACTTCATTCTTTATTCAGGATAAAACCAAACTATTCACAATATCTATTCCTTCACTATAAACATCATAATGATTTTGCTGAGTTTTAATAGCCTTGATCTTGTTCTGGCAAAGCTCTGCAATTAACACAATGTGATCTTGTTAATTTAGACTAAATGAATGGCAAAAGTACAAGCCTGTTCGAATTAGTATAAATTTAAATAAGCAATGTGTTCAAATGAGTAGAAATTCAAGAATACCTCACAGCAAAAAGAAATTAAATGCTGCCTAATAAACATTCCTGAAGTTGGTAAAGAAATAAAAATAATATTCAAGTTGGCACACATTAGCGGCCCAAAGCAGTTAACTTTACAACAATGTATTGAAAGAAGACAACAGTCCACTCACCCGATTCTATTTATGATTAAACTGCTAATTATGGCCATTTCCCCCTAAGAATAGTGCAATGATTAAATGTCAGCCCAGCCCCATTCTAAATTGGGGAAATCCAAATAACCAAGGCTTTAACTAACAAATGTTATCTATTTTAGAATTTAATAGTCTCAATTGAAAGTCTCAAAATAAACTTTTTGTAAAAACACAGACTCTTTTTCCATATTTTTAGGGTGAAAAAATTAGTCTCTAGTTGACACTAACTTTAAAAATTATTCCCAATGCATATTTTCTTAGAAAATTTTAAGTAAAACAAGGTTTGTCCACTTAAATTAGGTGATAGAGAAATTAGATACTATCTTATGATGTCCTCTTAAGCAAATTAATATCTTTATGTAGCTAAGTTTAACAGCAAAAACGAAAAAAGTTCAGATGCATTCATCTTTACAACAGATATTCTTGTTGGAGTTTTTAAAAAAAACAGACACAGGAAATAGACATTGTAAAGAGTTAAAAGTGATTTAGATGAACACAGGAACCTCCTGCTTGCTTTTCTCCTGCCTCACCTTCAGGCCTCTCCATTTCTAGTGTCACCCCATTGTCATTATGGTGAGTAACACCTAGTTCCCTTGCTGTCTTCTTCAGATATACACAGCAGTTTGTGTGTGTGTTTAAATGCAGCCACACCTATAAACTGTCCACAACTTGCTTTTTATTTTCCTTAAAACTTTAGGGACTGGGCTGTTGCTCAGTAGTAGCGTATGTGCTTATTAGCATGTTCAAGGCCCTAGGTTCAATCACCAGCACCAAAAAAAACCCACAACAACACAACGTCTTAAGAGATATAGGAAGGTAATAATGGTTCTCTCCAATGGCTGTGTGGTATTTCCTCAGTGTGGATGTATTACATTTTTTCATGAACATTTAGGTAATTTGCAACTGGTCACTTTTATAGACAAACACCACAACCTACATCCTTATACATTAAAGGTTTTCAGAGTTTAGTCTGCAGGTCCTTTGGAGCCTCCCCCATCTGCAGACCCTTTCCAAGATGGGAAAACTCTTTTTATCATCGTAAGACACTTTTGCCTTTTTCACTGTGTTGACATTTCTGCTTGTGGTGGGTGTCATTGCTGGGCAGTTGCATGAATCAAGATAGCATGGTAGCACCACCCAACTGTATCAAAGCCATTAGATTCCTTCTTCGTCATCATATGGTCTAAGTAAGAAATGATAGTTTTGCTCAAGAATGTCCTTAACGAAGCAGCAAAAGTTATTTCACTACATCTTAACCTTTGCATACACATGCACTTTATTTTATGTGATGAAATGGGAAGAACACACAATTGGATTCTTTCATCAGCTTCTGCATTCCACCTGCTACAATGTGCTGCTTTGGTTGAAGAATATGAAGAAAACCTGGCTTTGCACATATGCACAGTTGGAAAAGGAAAGAGTATTTATAATTGCCTTTTCTCTTCTGCTTATGGATGACTGAGTCAAGTACTTATGTGACTGGTTTGGTTGAGAGTTGAACTAACTGCTTATTTCTTGGACTTCTGTTTTTATTCAAAGAATGACAGACCAATCGTGGTTAATCATACTTGGGAATCTGGCAGACATTTTCTTGAAAATGAACAAAGTGAGCTTGTCACTTCAAGGAAAACAACTTGAGGTATTTGTTGCCAATAATAAAATTTGAACTTCTAAGTGAAAATCATAATTTTGGACAGCTTCCCAATCTTAAATAGTGTTCTAATAAGATCATTGGTGATATTAAGAAATGTAATTTTTTGATATTGTAGGATAAAATGTGTCAACAATTGGAAGATCTGCTGAACTCAGTAAACCATTATTTTCCAGATGACTAATGCATCATGTTACCAAATCAGACATGAGTGAAAAATCCAGAGCAAAAGATACACCAGGGATTGAACTCTGGGGTGCTTAACCACTGATTCACATCCCCAGGAGTTTTTTAAACATTTTATTTTGAGACAGGGTCTCTCCAAGTTGCTGAGGCTGGCTTTGAACTTGCAATCCTCCTGCTTTAGCCACTTGAGCCATGGGGATTACAGGTATGCGCCACCATGCCCAGCAAAACCAAAGGATTTTAATATAAGAGAATAAAAAATTCCTATCAATGGTTCCAGATTCCACATTTAAGAAACTGCAATAGGTTGAGTTTTGATGTAGTATCAAAGAAGAATATATATAATTATCTGACAGGGCTCTTTAAATATGACTCCCTTTTCTAGCATATGTTATCATATAGCCAAAATGACATATTAGAACAGATTAAAAAGCAGGAGTAGATATGAGAATTCGGCTCTTGTCTACTCAGCCAGATACTAGTGAAGTGCTAGGTTAAAAAGTTATGTAGGTTTAAAATTAAAATCTCAATCAGGTGTGTTGGCACATGCCCAACAGGCTAAGACAGAAGGATCTCAAGTACAAGGCCAGCCTTAGCAACTTAGCAAGATCATGTCTCAAAAAATAAAAAGGGCTAGGGGTATAGCTCAGTGGTAAAGTTCAATCCCGAGTACGCATGTATGTATGTATAAATAAAAAAATAAAATCCCGCCAAATTGTCTTTCAAAGAGCTTTGCTGGCTCAAATTCCCCCACAACATTTTATGAGAATGTTCACCAACTTATACATGGGTAGTCACTGGAGGGATCAATCAACTCTATATTTTGTGATTTGTCTTTATAAAGTGGTTTCTCATGGGATTAAGGAGTAAACTCCTCTAATTCATCTAAAGTAATACTCAACTCAAAAAGTCCTAACTCACATAAAATTTCTCAGGAAAATTTTCTTGTCCTCAGCTTATAAAAATGATCCGAATTAGTATTTGGGACTGGGCCTCTGGAACACACCTGTTTCCCACAGAAATAATGACAGTTAAACTCACAAGCGCCAATATGTAACTAAAACCAACAACCACAAAACCCCTTCACAATACACTGAGACCTAAAACTGGACAACATTGGAGTGTCCATCCACAACACTGTTTCAGTCAGAAAGAGCACTTCATGCCTTGGCGGGCAAACTGGGAATTCTGATCCATCTACCCTCCATGTCCTAATAATGGCCTCCACTCTCTCTCACCATTCCATCTCTTAGTGCAGAGCTCCCTGCGGGCCTCTGTCCACCAGTGGGCAGAAATGCTGCTCTGCAGAAGTGCAGAAGGCCAAGGGAGGGGTCACTGAGTCTCTGAAGGTGTGTGTGTGTGGTGAGTATGTGTGTGTGTGTGTACGCGCTGTGGGAACAGGAATCCATACCCCTCATGGGGAGGGCTGGAGAGGTGAGAGTGCAACCAAGTACACAGGTGTGTGTCAGTGGATAGCTGGAGCCTAGAAGTTAGTCATACACTAAAGAAGAGGGATGGGGAGACATGGTGGCAGAGGGAATGCCACCTGCATTTAGGATAGCACAACGTGCAACAGCAACAAACAGAAGCTGGTCCGCAAGTCCAGGGGGAACAGAGGACTGGAACTGCCCCATCGGGCTCTGACAAAGAAATGGTTCCAAGTGTTGGTTCAGACACTGAATGCACGCCTTCAACCAAGGAAGGGGACCACATCTTGAAGCACTGAGTCCCCCACTACAATATCTTCTTCCTTTGGAATGTTGCAAGAGTTTAATGATGCCGTGCATACTAAGAGCCTTGAAAAAATAATAAAACCTTGTAACTATAATGTACAAGTCACAGGTAAGATACAAGTTCAGGGGGCTGGGGTTGTGGCTCAGTGGTAGTCTGCTCGCCTAGCATGCGTGAGGCACTGGGTTTGATCCTCAGCACCACATAAAAATAAAATAAAGATATTGTGTCCACCTAAAACTAAAAAATAAATATTAAAAACAAGATACAAGTTCATAAATGTATTGTAAAATTAAGGGGCTGGGTTAGACAATCTAAATGGCCGTTTAGGCAATAAGAGAGGTAAATAGGGAGCCTACATCCTGGGAACAAATCTTTACTCCTCACACTTCAGATAGAGCCCTAATATCCAGAGTATACAAAGAACTCAAAAAATTAGACAATAAGAGAACAAACAACCCAATCAACAAATGGGCCAAGGACCTGAACAGACACTTCTCAGAGGAGGACATACAGTCAATCAACAAGTACATGAAAAAATGCTCAACATCTCTAGCTGTCAGAGAAATGCAAATCAAAACCACCCTAAGATACCATCTCACTCCAGTAAGATTGGCAGCCATTATGAAGTCAAACAACAACAAGTGCTGGCGAGGATGTGGGGAAAAGGGTACACTTGTACATTGCTGGTGGGACTGCAGATTGGTGCAGCCAATTTGGAAAGCAGTATGGAGATTTCTTGGAAAGCTGGGAATGGAGCCACCATTTGACCCAGCTATTCCCCTTCTTGGTCTATTCCCTAAAGACCTAAAAAGAGCATGCTACAGGGACACTGCTACATCGATGTTCATAGCAGCACAGTTCACAATAGCAAGACTGTGGAACCAACCTAGATGCCCTTCAATAGACGAATGGATAAAAAAAATGTGGCATTTATACACAATGGAGTATTACTCTGCATTAAAAAATGACAAAATCATAGAATTTACAGGGAAATGGATGGCATTAGAGCAGATTATGCTAAGTGAAGCTAGCCAATCCCTAAAAAACAAATGCCAAATGTCTTCTTTGATATAAGGAAAGTAACTAAGAACAGAGTAGGGACGAAGAACAGGAGAAGAAGATTAACATTTAACAGGGATGAGAGGTGGGAGGGAAAGGGAGAGAGAAGGGAAATTGCACGGTAATGGAAGGAGACCCTCAGGGTTATACAGTGGAGGGGGTAGAGAGAGAGGAGGGGAGGGGAGGGGAGAGGTGGGGAGGGGGGAGGGTGGAGGATGGGAAAGGCAGCGGAGCACAACAGACACTAGTATGGCAATTTGTAAATCAATGGATGTGTAACTGATGTGAATCTGCAATTTGTGTATGGGGTGAAGGTGGGAGTTCATAACCCACTAGAATCAAAGTGTGGAATATGATATGTCAAGAAATTTGTAATGTTTTGAACAACCCACAATAAAAAATTAAAAAAAAAAAAAAAATGGCCGTTTAGGTTGAAACAGTCTATGACAAACCATGAAATTCCATGAAAAAATATACCTAAATGTCATTAACCCTTCACACCAGTAGGTTCCCCCACCCCTACCCCAGGTGCTGGGGATCAAACCCAGGGCCTTGTGCATATTAAGCAAGAGCTCCAGCCACATAAGATAATTTGTTAACCCAGAACAACTAAAAACAAAAAGAAGGTGAGTGAAAATTTTTTCTATTAAAATTTTGTAGAAAAAAAATACCGACTAAAATAAACAAAGCAACAGATTATAAAATTATATTTGAAGTATGTCAAATGAAGATTAGATCTTTATTATACAAGAGAGCACAGATATCAAGGAGAAAAACAAGATCCCAATAGAAAAGTATGCAAAGGACATACATTAATAGATAATTCACAGTCACAACTGTTTGTAACAAAGAGAAAATTGTTTGAGCTCATTATGTACCATAAGCTACCACTGCTATTCTATCAAAGTGATAAGGATTTAAAATATATGACTTTCTATGTGTTAAAAGGAAATTTTCGTATGCTAGCAGTAGCCCCCTGCACACATAATTGACTTCTCCAAATTATCCCCCAAAAGTAATAAATATGGAAAATGCAGGTAGGTGTCTCTTCAGAGTAGGCAGAAAGGAAAGAACTTTAGTTTTCAACACTAAGGAGATGGCCAAGTAAATAAAAGAACATCACACTGATATCAGCAACGTGGAAAATTTATTTCCTTCCTTCTGTCCCTTCTTTTTCTTCAGACAAAAAGTGCTCTACTACTGAGCTACACACCTTCAGTCCCTCCAAAATTTCCTTTTTTTCTTTTTTCCCTTTTTGGTACTGGAAACTGAACCCAGAAGAATTCGACCTCTGTGCTAATTCCCAGTCTTTAAAAAAAAAAAATTATTTTGAGTCAAAGTCTCACTAAGATGCTCAGGTTTTCTTAGAACTTGTCATTGATCCTCCTGCCCCAGCCTCCTGAAGACACTGGCACTACAAGCATGCACCACTGCACCTGGTTCAGAAAATCTATTATGAGAATGCTTGGGCAAAGTAAATGAGACATATAACTGATCACAAAATATGATGAGAGTTTTGCAAAAATAAAAATCTGTGCAAGGGAAAAAACTACATCAATGGGCTGAAGGTGTGACTCTGGTTTGGTCTTGGTCATCGTGATGGGGTATCAAATACTGGATTGTGGTTCACAAAATGGGTCACCAACAATGTAGAATCATTCTAAATCCTAATATCTTCAGTCATAATGACTGTTGTAAGCATACAGTGGTACAACCTAGCCAAAAGATTAACATGGTACTCAGCAGATGGTAAATGCTAGATAAATGACAGTTTTATCACTTTTTGTTGGTCGTGTGATTATACTGCCTTTATTCCCCAAATTTCGTAAATAAGAATGTTTTCTTCATCTGACTATTATGTAGGGAACTTCCTACGTAAATACTTCTTAAAATTAGCTATATCCTCCCTTTCAATTTTCAGAAATGAATCAAGTGTGAAAATGGCATTTCTGTTAATCCATATGTAACATTTACAAATTGTTTTATCTACTGTGTGATTTTTTTAAACTCTAAGAAGTGGTTGCAAAAGAAGATTAAATTTGTACATCTAACACATGAAACTCAACAGATGCCGCTATAAAGGGTCTCAAACGTAAGACCGACATATTCTTGCGCCGTCTGCATTCTCTGTGAAATCCTGTACAATCCTGCACATTCCGAATCATCTGTTGGTTTCTGAATATACACACCACGATCAGATACAGATAGGAGTAGTCTTCCATGTTTAGGGCCATTAACTGAAAATAGACTGGACATTCTATTTTTCCTTCCTGTTATAAATTGTATCATAACAGACCTGGTCATCCCAGCTCCTTCACCACCCTGCGTGTTAAGAACTACCAATCATCCATTCTTGGGAAGTAATCATCCCTCTCCCAAGTATTTATTTATAAGCATGCATAATTATTTACAGAAGTGTGATACCACTACTTTTCTGTTACTTCTTTTCCAAACAAGCTTTACTCATTACTTATGAAATAAAAGCTATGGTATCTTTTAGATAAACACTTGTTTAGAAGGAGCCAAATGTCAGAAGACATTTTCTCTGTGCCTTTGCATTCTTAAATAATTTCTACTTTCCAAATGCAAGGGTAAGCTCCATGAATAAACTCTACATTTTGAAAACTCTGGCTTCAAGGTTCCGTATCATCTGAGTTACACAATATGGGTGTGTGGTCAAGAGCCTTTACTGCAAATGGAGGGTTATGTTTTAAAATTTGACAGCAGCTCCAGAATTCTAACTTTTCAAGTTTTTTGCAAGAGTTTGAAGTCAGAGAAAAAAAAATTAAAAAAAAAAAAAAAAAGTTAAGTGAAGAGCGCTATGATGTCACGTAAAGAAATCAGTCATTGCTAATTTAACCCACAGTTGCATGTCTGCCATTACCAGTTTGTCTTTCTGTCGTTCACCATGGATGAGAAAGCCGCTTCGTCCATTGCCTTCGGGGTGCATGACCTTACAGACCCCGACGCGACTGATCCCGCCTCCTTCCTGTGGGAACCATCCCCCGCTGGAGTCATCTCTGGTCATAACCACAGCCTTGACACGCACAATATAGCTGTCACTAAAACGACAACAAGAAGAATGGGGCATGACAATGGTCTGGTAGCTGCAGAACATGTTTCACAATGCAAGATGACCACCAGCCAGCACTTCTCTGGACTTAAGAGAAAATCTGTGCCTGGTAATAATCTTGAGAGGCAACCCATCTCAAGATTTTTTAGCGAAAACACAAAACACATCAACTCAACATAGAAGTACCTTAAAAAAAGACACCTAAGTGATTAACAACTACTTGTGAGTCTCTGAAGAAGTATTCAAAGCATCTCATTCTCCAGTTTCAGGGCATAAATATTAAAAATAAGTGAGCCAATCTCTATATTTTGGTAACTATTTGTAAGTTGGAAAGACAAACTTAATAACTTAAGAGGATATTCACTGTAAACTTAGTTTATAATGAAAGGCAAGTCTTATTAACACTTTATGAAGCTAATTATTTTCTTATTTAGCACAAGAATAAGATAGTCCACTTCCAAATCACAAATTCTGCATGAAACATTTATACAGATGGGGAAATATTTTAATTCAAGATATCCTTTACACAATTGTAGGCTCTTATTTATAGTTTTATTTTTTTCCATTCTAGAACTTTGATTTTGCAATAAGTTCTTTTGCACATTTGCCAACAATCCTTTCTCCTTCAGAGACCAATCCCAGTTTTGTTTTCATTCTTCATCACTTTTTGGGGAAATTTATTTGGATTTTCAGCAAGGCCATTAAATTCTCACTTGATGTTTTCTTTCCTTGGATAGAATTCATTTTTTATTCAATCATATATTCAGAGCTTATGTATGCCAGATGCTATGCTAGATTCTAGGAAACAAAGATGCAGAGTAACAGAGAACCCTCTTGTGCCTTGGGCCCCAGGGAAGGCTGTCCCCTATCTCAGAAGGAGCCTGGTCCCACCATCAGCAGGACAGAGACATCCCTCAGCTGCACATTCCTGCTCACCTCCTCACCCAAAGACAAGTCGCTTGGATTTCCATGACCCCACGTGGCTCCACCTCCCTTGTGACCCAGCTGCCCTCCTCCACCAAGTTCATGGGCCTTAAATCCAATAACCTCTAACTTCCTCATCTTCTCCTCTGACCATTCCTTTGGTTTTTAAAAAATTGTATAAACTGTACCTACTGTACAAAATTTACCATTTTAAGTGTACATTTCCGTGGTATTAAGTACATTTGCACCCCCGGGCAACCCTCAACCACCACCCATCATCTCCAGAGCGCTTTCATTATCCCAAACCAAAACTTTGTATCTGTGAAAACACTTACTCCCCATTCTCTCCTCCCTCCACAGACAGCCCCCACCAACCATCATCTGTACTTTGTGTCCCTGTGAATTTGAGTACTCTAGGTATTTCATGAATATTCCTTTTGCTTTATTAACCTGAATGAAGTGAAAGGTCCTCTGTGGCTCGGTCTCCCAGGCTGCTCTCTGCAGCATGGCTCCTCCAAGCCCACACATGGGGTAGAGACTCAGCAGAGCTGCAGGCTCCTCGCCCTCCTCTGGGTTCATCTGCAGCTCATACACCTGACCATGCTCTTCTTCCACCCACAATTCTGGGTCACCCCTTAACCTCTCATCCCTGAAAAGGCTGGCAACCAGGCTCACTGTCCTTCCTCTTCCCTACCACTATCCTGCCATGATTCTTGGTTGTCTTATCACTGATTATGAGCATCCTTCCAATTCCTTGGCCTCTTAGCTTCTGGGATTCTTTCCATCCAATGACTCCATCCTGTACCCAACCAGTGCCCCACACTCAGGTCAACCCTTGACTTTATCGCCAGTGTCTACACCACTTCCCTGCCTCAATTTTAAGCAGCCCACTTTCCGGCCATCACCCCCTTACTCTGTAGCTCCCTCCAGACTCCAGTGATCACCTGGCATCGCAGCCTGTTCTTACCGCCACCTTTGAGGCCCTTCTCCTGCTCAGCATTCCTCATGTTCTCACTTTGATTCTCTACCCAACTTCAGCTCCGATATCTACCGTGACACTCCTCAGCACACAACCTTAACACCTGTGCTTTCTCTCTCCTCATCGTGATTGCCTGACACAACCTGACCTGGTTAAGTCCTACCACCTACCTACTCCATGCTCCAACCCACGCTGCCGCACATGGTGTGGGGAACACTCCCTCTACTGTGCTTTAAAACAAGCCTTGTTTTAAAGTCGTGATCATCTGTTAACTGGCATCCTGCTACAGCTGTCCACTCTGTCTCCAAGATGACTTTTAACTGGCCTCCTTTCCCTTGCTCTCAGATGATGGATGAGCTTGCCTGTTTCACTGAGAAGCCAGATGCAGTCAGTAGAGACCCTGCCCTTGCACCCACCATCATGCCTACCAGGTACTGGTACTCTCTGCCTCTCCTCCTTCATGGTGCCTAAACCATCCCTGGTGCCTAAACCATCCCCAATCCACGTAGGGGCCAACTTCTCCAGTTACCTACTCTATGCTAACAGTGTCCTCATTTGCATTTCCATCCAGGCCTCTTCTGGAGGAAGCTCTTAGTGAGTTCTGAGTTCTCTGCTTGGGTGTTTCACAGGCATCGCAATCAATATGTATCAGATCAAACTCTTCATTCTAGTATGCTCCCACTCTTTTGATTCTCCCTTCCAATTATACCAAAGACACTTTTTACCACCTCCACTGACACTGCCCAACATACCTGCCATCACTTTGCACTGAGATTATCACAACTGCTTCCTAATTGGAATCTTTACTTCCACGTGTGCCTGATTTCCCAGAAAATAGATTAGATTGTGACTCTATTCAAATCCTCCAGCAGCTTCCTAGATCATTTTGAGAAAAGCCAAAATGCGGCCATTGCTTATTCCACTTCAGTCCCACTGGCCACACTCATGCCTCAGGGACACTGCACTGGCTATTTATCCCTGCTTCTTAAAACCTGTTTTCCTGCCGGCCACAGTGGTGCACACCTGTCATCTCACAGAGACTTGGGAGGCTAGGCAAGAGGATCACAAGTACAAGGCCAGCTTGGACAGTTTAGTTTGACTCTGTCTCAAAATAAAAAATAAAAAGGGCTGGGGATTAGCTCAGTGGTAGAGCAGCCCTGGATTCAATTCCCAGTACTACAAAAAAACAAACCAAACCAAACCAACATTCCCCACCCTTCTCCCCTACACAACTAGACTCATTCCCTTACATGATTCAGTTCTCTGCTGGAAATTGTTTCATTAGAGAAGACTTCCCTGTCCATCCTACATAAAACATCTTACATCTTCTCACCCTGCCTGGCCTGTATCTGTCTGGCTACTAGGATGTGAACTTCTTAAGAGCAAGGACTTTGCCCTTTTGTTCACTGTAATATCCCTGGAGCTTAGAATGAGATATGTTAATAGACTATGAAATGAATAGGTGACATACACAATAAAACAGGTTTTAAGGAATGCATTTTGTAAGCCGGGCACAGTGGTGCACTCCTGTAATCCCAGCAGCTCTGGAGGCTGAGGCCCTAAGTAACTCAGTGAGACCCTGTCTCTAAATAAAATATAAAAAAGGACCGGGGATATGGCTCAGTGGTTAAGCACTCCTGGGTTCAATCCCTGGTATTGAAGGGGGGAAAAAAAAAAAAAAAGGAAGAAAGAAAAAAATGTATTTGTAGTTAACAGAATCCTTGTTTAAAAAAAAGAAAAAGAAAGTATTCAGTACTCATTTGCTTACGAACCACAATACTTTAGTTAACAAGTAAATGGACAAATTGCACATGTAGAAATACATGCAAAAATCACAGGTTGTGCATGCACTACTTCGAGATCCTAGAGATAAGAATATTTGATAATGTATTCAGATTAGTTGCATATGAACAACTTTGGAGAACATTCATTTTTTCCCCTTCACCCCCTTAATTCCAGAAAAACTAAGGGTACCTAGGATTTAAAAATCCTCCAGTGTACAACACAGCTGTCTCAAATCTTTGATGAGTGTACTATCTGTTCATCTCCCCAGGAAATGGCCAACGTGAGCTGAAAGAACTGAAACTCTATACACCTCCTGTTAAAATATGGTTTGACTTTGTACGTGCTGTAGTTGGGGGCTGTTCTCCCTTTGAGGGGATGAAGCAAACTTGAAAAAGAGAGGCTTGCATTACTTGTTAGTCCCACAAACTTATTTCCCCAAATAACACATTTATTAGAGATTTTTATAAATACCCCACCCTCTGCTTCCAGACCACAAAGGCTACCTGTGCCTCTGCTTGTGCTCTGTGGCAGCTTCTTGCCTCGATTCCTCCCAGCAGGGCCTTCCCCAGAGCATAGACTTCTGTGTGGGGTGAGGTAGGGAGTTTGGGGCGGGCGGGAAGAAGCCCCTTTGGTCTCCACTGGCAACAACTCTGGCATCTGGTTATTTAAAACCAGGCCACGGGTGAGGTGTTGCACTGAGAGCTGAGAGGGCTGTCTGCGTGGTCCAGCTGCATGGCCGCTGGCCAATGGCTTCCCATCCATGGAGCACTGACTGACGTTACTCGGGCACCTCACTCCCCACCCCAGAGAGCAAGGACAATGAACTCTACTACCAAAAGGTAGAAGAGAGGAAAACTCCCTTCCCACCTTCCCTCCCCCTCTTTCTGGAAAGAATTAAACAACATCTGTTTAAAACAGATGCAGGGGTTTGTTTGGGGAGGATGGGCCGGAAGGGCAAGGACAGATTGGTTTTTTAAATTTGTGCAAGGAGAAGGCTGCCGGGATGCCTTAGAAACATTTTCAAAACATGCTACCATTGTCAAAAATAACCACCACAACGTGTTGCTGAAACTGGCAACTGCTGCACGGTGGCCTGGTGGGGACATGGGGAGGCTCCAGAGGCAGGCCCCAACACCAGCTGTGCAGAGCCAGGGTCTGAACCCGACCAGAACAGCCCCAAACAACCAGTGTCATCACCAATGGTGTTTGACTACCACTCAAACAACAGCATATTCTTTGGCTGGTTTATGAATAAATTGACTGAACTAGAGATTTTTCCATTTAAGGAAAAGCTTTATGTT